ATTTTTACTGTTTCCTTTGCTACATTTGTGTTGTATTTGAGCTGATAAATAAATAAAGGGAGACTAGTATAGATCTATTTCAAGCTATTTAGCTCTCATCAGCTAGCTAGATTCAAATCCCAGTAAGGGTATGGCTAGCTGAAGAGACCTAAATAGCTTGAAATAGATCTATACTAGTCTCCCTTTATTTATTTATCAGCACAAATACAACACACACACACACACACACAGAGTCACTTTTAAAGTGTTTTGTTTGCACTTTAATGTCTAACATTGAAATTTAATGTGTTATATAAAAAAGAGGGGGAAAAGAAAAAGGTTACAATAATCCATAGAAAAATATGTATTTGTCAGAAATGTTAAGGAAATTATTCTGAAATGCCTGCATTTCAATTTGATTCATTTAATGAGGGCTCCTTGAGGCTCTCTGAGCTTGGTTGTCTTCTTGCAGACGTTTCGCTACCGAACTAGGTAACGTCATCAGTGCTACAGATCTTTTATTCAGTTTTTATTGGTTTATAACTATGATGGCAAACCTATGGCATGAAATGCCAGAGGTGGCACCCTGGACCCTCTCTGATGGCAGGCGAGCTGTTGCCACGCATGCCTCCCGCCAGCCAGATGATCTTTAGGTCTCTGCCACGCATGCACGGGGGCAGGGTGCGTGCAGGGGACCGCGGATGCAAGCGCATGGGGAGTGCTTGCAGGGCCCCCCACATTAAACCCAAAGAAAAATTTCTGGTTTTATCTTTATATTCACTTTAAGAATTTTCTTTATTAGAATATGAATCCTACTCCAATATTTTTTTTCCTTTATCACACGTCCCCCAGAAAGGATAAAAGCTTCCTTCTTTACGTTTACATTTGAAATACTTTTGCGAACAATTATTTTTACATGTCCAACACACCTTCCTCCTCTTATTTTTCCCAAAACCACAACCCTGTGAGGTGCATTGGGCTGAGAGAGGGCCAGCTGGCTTTCATGACTATGGCAGAACTAGAACTCACGGTCTCCTAGTGATTGGCCCATGGTCACCCAGTTGGTTTTCATGACTATGGCAGAAGTAGAACTCCCAGTCTCCTAGTGATTGGCCCAAAGTCACTCAGCTGGTTTCTATGGCAGAACTAGAACTTCCGGTCTCCTAGTGATTGGCCCAAAGTCACCCAGCTATCTTTCAGGGCAATGGAAGAACTAGAACTCCCGGTCTCCTAGTGATTGGCCCAAAGACATCCACCTGTTTTTCATGGCTATGGCAGAACTAGAACTCACGGTCTCCTAGTGATTGGCCCACAGTCACCCAGCTGGCTTTCAGGGCAATGACAGAACTAGAACTCCTTGTCTCCTAGTGATTGGCCTAAAGTCACCCACCTGATTTTCA